TGAGTGTAACAGTCTGAGCTATAACAGGTTGAGAAGAGAAGGGAATTGATGTAAAGGTAAAGCCGAGAGCATTACATAACTGTTCACAGCCTTGAGGACTAGATAAATATATGCTTTACAGTCAGGTGTGTCGGAGTGGATTTAAAGGGTCAAAGTGAAGAGGGAGGAAAGAAATGATAAGGGTGACTGTGTTATGTTCTGGTTAGAATGTGTTTGCAAGGAAGCGATATTAAAATAGTCAAATTACTGGGAAACAATGCTAGACTGGTGTCGTGCTGGGGGAGCAGTGTCATGGTATGGGCTCTATGGAATTATACAGAATGCCCATTTTCAAGCATCTCCAGTTTGGATGACAGAATTGCTAAAATGTTCCTTTGATTGGGGAGTTTTATTAAAATGTCTTTTATAGAAAGCATAGTCGGAATGTCCAGTTTAGAAGAAAGCAATATTGGAGTGTCCAGTTTAGAGGCAAGCAATGTTTGAGTGTTTGATTTAGAAGAAAGCAATGTTAGCATGTTAATTTCAGAGGCAAGCAATGGTAGAATGTTTAGTTTAGAGGTAAGCAACGTTTGTGTGTTCAGTGTAGATGCACACAATATTAAAATGCTCAGTTTAGGGGAAAGCAATGTTAGAGGGTTTAGTTTGGGAGAAAGTAATGTTAGCATGTTTACTTTAGAGGCAAGCAGTTTTTGAATGTTCAGTTCAGAGGTAAGCAATGTTAGAATGTTCAGTTTAGGCGCAGACAATGTTAGAATGTTCAGTTTAGAGGCATGCAATGTTAGAATGTTCAGTTTAGAGGCAAGCATTGTTAGAATGTTCAGTTTGAATGCAAGCAATATTAGCATGTTCAGTTCAGAGGTAAGCAATATTAGAGAAGTCAGTTTAGAGGCAAGCAATGTTAGAGAGTTTGGTCTGGAAGAAAGCAATGTTAGCATGTTTCGTTTAGAGGGAAGACATTTTTGAATGTTCATTTCAGAGGTAAACAATGTTAGAGTTTTCAGTTTAGAGGCAAGCAATGTTAGAATGTTCAGAAGCAAGCAACGTTAGAATATTCAGTTCTGAGGGGAGCAATAATAGAATGATGAGTTTAGAGACAAGCAATATTAAAACATTAATTTTAGAGGCAAGCAATGTTAGAACAGTCAGTTTAGAGACAAGCAATGTTAGACTGTTAGAAAAAAACAATGTTAGTGTGTTAGTTTAGAGGCAAGCAATGTTTGAATGTTCAGTTCAGAGGTAAGCAATATTAGAGTATTCAGTTTAGAGGCAAGCAATGTTACAGAGTTGGGTTTAGAAGAAAACAATGTTAGCGTGTTCAGTTTAGACACACACACAATGTTAGAATGATTAGTTTACAGGCAAGCAATTTAAGAATGTTTAGCTCAGAGACAAGCAATGTTAGATTGTTCAGTTCAGAGAGCATTCCATTATTCAGTCTAGAGGCAAGCAAAATTGAAATGCTCAGTTTAGAGGCAAGTAATGTGTTCAGTTTAAAGGCAGGCAATGCTAGAATGCGAACATTCTAATATTCAGTCCAGAGGCATGCAATGTTGAAATGCTCAGTTTACAGGCAAGCAAAGTTAGAATGCTTAGTTGAGATGCAAGTAATGTGCTCTGTTTAGAGGTAAGAAATGCTAGAATCTTTAGTTTATCGGCAAACAATGTTAGAATGCTCAGCTTAGGAGACAAGCAATACTAGAACCATCAGTTTAGTGGCTAACAATGCTACAATTTCAGAGGCAAGCAATGCTCCAATGAGAGGAAAGCAGTGTGACAATACACCTAAGAGGCAAGCAATCATAGAATTCTCAATTGAGGGGCAAGCGATCCCAGAATGGTAACTGGACTGGGAAGCCATTAGGGATGCACAGATACTTTTCGAGTACCAGTGCAGATACTTGGCATTTTCATGAGAACTATCAAGGTTGCAGCGGTTGCAGCGGTTGAAGCTGGGAGGGACCTGGCTCTGGCGCTCCACCACTGTCCTGAAATCATTAGTCTGTATTGTTTTAGAAAAACTGTCACATGACAATAAACAGAAATGTATCAGTACTCGTACTTGTAAATACTCGGCAAGTACCAGTACTCGTAAAACTGGTATCTGTGCATCCCTTTATTTATATTTATAAAAACAAAATCGTACATTAAAACAGAGATGTACAAATCCCAGGAGCTCCGTGTGCTCCTTACAAATGACAGCGGCCTCCTAATTTTTGAATTTTTCTCTAGTCTAGTCTTGGAGCTCAAAAGTATCGGTACCTGTACTCGTACTTGTACCGAGTACTGTACTTGGTATCTGTGCAACCCTAGAAGCCATATTATATGCTCCATTTATAGAGGAAAGCAATGTAAGACCAATTAGTTTGAAAGAAAGAAGACGACATGATGTATAGAGAATCAGAGTTAGAAAGGTTTGGTATCTAAGGACAAAGTATTTACTTTCTATTTAATGAAGGAGCACAGCTAGAACATTCACTGAGGGGGAAGAAATGAATGTTGAATAGGCAATATACGGAGAGGCAGCGTCTATATGCACTCTATACAGGGAAGCATTGTTGGAAAGAGCAGAGCATGGATACGGAATGTAAGGAGACAATATAAAAATGCTCATTGTATTGGGAAAACAACCATTCGGCTATGGAGAATGATCATTAGAGAGCTTGGAGCATGGGTAAGGCATTGTAAAATGGCCACTGTAATGGAAAAAATGTTACAAAATATGAGGAAGCAATGTCAGAATAATGAGCGCACAGGGAGTCATCAATAGAACATTTGGTGCACCGAGCAGCAATATTAGAGCATCCTCTCTGTCCATTATGTTTTTATGAATGGTCAGTGTTGGGGGAGCACTGTTACCATGGGCAGTGTATAGTGCTACAATCCTCAGTTGGCTGGGAAGCAACAGTGCGTGGGAAAGTAGACTTAGAATGTGCTCAGTGCAGGGAAGCTAGATCACAATATATACAGTGTCATCCGTGCTAGACTATAAACTGCGGGGAAGCAAAATTACAATACAAAAGGTAGTAATCAGTGCTAGAGTGTGAGATGCGGATACAAATATTACAATATATAGGCAGCCATCAAAGCTAGGCTCTGAAGTGTGGGAAGGGATGCAAGAATGGTTACTGCATTAAAAAAAGCAATTTTACAATGTGCAATATTAGAACCAGCAAAGTGTAGAGAAGCCACCATAGACTGTTTATGGCTGGGGCAGGCAACCTCGGCACTCCAGCTGTGATGAGACTACAAACTCCATCATGTCTGTGCCTCTGGGAGACATGCCTGTGGCTGTCAGCCTTGCAATGCCTCATGGGACTTGTAGTGCCAAGCTTGTCTACCACTGATTTACGAGGAAGCAAAGTTTGAATGTGTAGAGAGCAGGGAAGCAATGTTATAGAGTGTAGACTAGGCTGCAGGAAAGCAAAACAAATGTCTAATGTTACAAGGTGGATCGTGAAAGAAATCAATATCATAATGTATGCTGCATCGAGCAGCAGTGTGTAAGTCAGCAATGTTAGCATGGTCAGGTTGTAGGGAAGCAATGTTAGTATAGGGAATAGGCAGGGAAACGGCAATGACATGTTTAGATGGTGGGGAAGCAATAACAGAATGGGCAGAGCAGTAGTGCCGGTGTATGTAGAGCGTTAGCAATGTCTGGTGTGTAGGAAAGCAATGATAGAATGTACAGTGCCTTGGAAATCGATATCATAGTGTAGAGTATATGAGACAGCAGGGTTGGTACTTACAATGTACAGTGTGTGAGAAAGGAGTGTGAGAACATACAGAGCACGGGAAAGCAATTTTAGAATGTACATTGCATGGAAAAGAAATGTTAGCATGAATAGTGTGAGGGAAAGCAACGTTAGAATGTGCAATGTCAGGAAAACAATACGTAGGTGAAAAATCTTAGAATGCACAATGTGTGTAGGAAAGCAATGTTAGTGTGTACAATGTGTGGGAACGCAATGTTAGGGTGTACAATGTGTGGGAAAGCAAGGTTAGCGTGTACAGTGTGTAGGAAAGGAATGTGTGCATTCACACTGTGTAGAAAAGCAATGTGCATATGTGTAGGAAAGCAATGTTAGAATGTACAATGTGTAGGAAAGCAATGTTGGAGCATAGAGTGTACGAGAAAGCAATGTTAGGGTGTATAATGTGTAGAAAAGCAATGTTAGAGTGTATAATGTGTAGGAAAGGAATGTGTGAATGTACACTGTGTAGGAAAGCAATGTGTGAATGTACACTGTGTTGGAAAGCAATGTGTGAATGTACACTGTGTAGGAAAGCAATGTGTGAATGTACACTGTGTAGAAAAGCAATGTTACAGTATACAGTGTGTAGCAAAGCAGGCATAGTGTGTAGGAAAACAATATTAGAGTGTATAATGTGTAGGAAAGGAATGTGTGAATGTACACTGTGTAGGAACGCAATGTTACAGTGTATAATGTGTAGGAAAGCAATGTTAGCATATACAGTGTGTAGGAAAGCAATGTTAGGCTGTACAATGTGTAGGAAAGCAATGTTACAGTGTATAATGTGTAGGAAAGCAATGTTAGGGTATACAGTGTGTGGGAAAACAATGTTAGAGTGTATAATGTGCGGGAAAGCAATGTTATAGTATACAGTGTGTAGGAAGGCAATGGTAAAGTTTACAGTGTGTAGGAAAGTAATGTTATAGTGTACGGTGTGTAGGAAAGCAATGTTAGAGTGTACAATGTTAGCATGTACAGTGTGTGTGAAAGTAATAATAAAGTGTACAGTGTGCGGAAAATTCATGTTTGAGCGTACAGTGTGAGGAAAGCAATGTTAAATTTACAATATTCAGGAAAGCAATGATGGAGTGTAGAGTGTTCGGGAAAGCAATGTTGCGGTGTACAGTGTGTGGGAAAGCAATGTTGCGGTGTACAGTGTGCGGGAAAGCAATGTTGCGGTGTACAGTGTGCGGGAAAGCAATGTTGCGGTGTACAGTGTGCGGGAAAGCAATGTTGCGGTGTACAGTGTGCGGGAAAGCAATGTTGCGGTGTACAGTGTGCGGGAAAGCAATGTTGCGGTGTACAGTGTGCGGGAAAGCAATGTTGCGGTGTACAGTGTGCGGGAAAGCAATGTTGCGGTGTACAGTGTGCGGGAAAGCAATGTTGCGGTGTACAGTGTGCGGGAAAGCAATGTTGCGGTGTACAGTGTGCGGGAAAGCAATGTTGCGGTGTACAGTGTGCGGGAAAGCAATGTTGCGGTGTACAGTGTGCGGGAAAGCAATGTTGCGGTGTACAGTGTGCGGGAAAGCAATGTTGCGGTGTACAGTGTGCGGGAAAGCAATGTTGCGGTGTACAGTGTGCGGGAAAGCAATGTTGCGGTGTACAGTGTGCGGGAAAGCAATGTTGCGGTGTACAGTGTGCGGGAAAGCAATGTTGCGGTGTACAGTGTGCGGGAAAGCAATGTTGCGGTGTACAGTGTGCGGGAAAGCAATGTTGCGGTGTACAGTGTGCGGGAAAGCAATGTTGCGGTGTACAGTGTGCGGGAAAGCAATGTTGCGGTGTACAGTGTGCGGGAAAGCAATGTTGCGGTGTACAGTGTGCGGGAAAGCAATGTTGCGGTGTACAGTGTGCGGGAAAGCAATGTTGCGGTGTACAGTGTGCGGGAAAGCAATGTTGCGGTGTACAGTGTGCGGGAAAGCAATGTTGCGGTGTACAGTGTGCGGGAAAGCAATGTTGCGGTGTACAGTGTGCGGGAAAGCAATGTTGCGGTGTACAGTGTGCGGGAAAGCAATGTTGCGGTGTACAGTGTGCGGGAAAGCAATGTTGCGGTGTACAGTGTGCGGGAAAGCAATGTTGCGGTGTACAGTGTGCGGGAAAGCAATGTTGCGGTGTACAGTGTGCGGGAAAGCAATGTTGCGGTGTACAGTGTGCGGGAAAGCAATGTTGCGGTGTACAGTGTGCGGGAAAGCAATGTTGCGGTGTACAGTGTGCGGGAAAGCAATGTTGCGGTGTACAGTGTGCGGGAAAGCAATGTTGCGGTGTACAGTGTGCGGGAAAGCAATGTTGCGGTGTACAGTGTGCGGGAAAGCAATGTTGCGGTGTACAGTGTGCGGGAAAGCAATGTTGCGGTGTACAGTGTGCGGGAAAGCAATGTTGCGGTGTACAGTGTGCGGGAAAGCAATGTTGGAGTGTACAGTGTGCAGGAAAGCAATGTTGCGGTGTACAGAGTGCGGGAAAGCAATGTTGCGGTGTACATTGTGCGGGAAAGCAATGTTGGAGTGTACAGTGTGCGGGAAAGCAATGTTGGAGTGTACAGTGTGCGGGAAAGCAATGTTGGAGTGTACAGTGTGTGTAAAAGTAATGATAAAGTGTACAGTGTTTGGGAAAGCAATGTTAACATGTACAGTGTGCGGAAAAGCAATGTTGGAGTGTAGATGGGCAGGAAAGCAATGTTGGAGTGTAGATGGGTAGGAAAGCAATGTTGGAGTGTAGATGGGTAGGAAAGCAATGTTGGAGTGTAGAGTGTGCGGGAAAATAATGATAAAGTGTGTAATGAGCAGAAAAGTAATGTTGGAGTGTACAGTGTGCAGGAAAGCAATGTTGGAGTGTACAGTGTGCAGGAAAGCAATGTTGCGGTGTACAGAGTGCGGGAAAGCAATGTTATAGTTTACAGAGTGTGGGAAATCAATGTTTGAATGTACAGAGGGCAGAAACTAAGTCTGAGTCCTAGAATGTATATCTTGTGCGGAAACAATTGATAGAATACACAGGATAAGGCAGGATGTAGTAGAATATAGCAGGATAAGGGGAGGCAAGGGTGAAATTAACAATGGGCAGTGATACAATGTAAGAACGTATGGGATATTTGGGAACACTGTTAGGCTGCTCAGTGAACGGGGAAGCGACAGTTTCCATCAACTCAAAATTTATGAACGCATTCAATTATTTTTAGATGAGGTTTGTGTGTGAAGAAATGAATGACAGCAGACAGCTGAAGGACAAGTTGAGGATAGCCAGACATTATGGACAAGTGCCAACTAAGTGAACAATGTTAGAGAACCAAGGGAGGGATGGGATAGGAGTCATTGTCTACTAAATATACTAACCCCCCCCCCCCCTTTCCCTACGGCTTGGCGTTGGTTCCCTATCCTGCAT